ATCCCGGGACTCCAGGATCATGACCTGAGCCGAAGGCAGTCACTTAACCAACTGAGCCACCCAGGTGCCCTCAAAGAAGAAATCTTAAGAAAACATAAATATATTTTAAACTAAATGAAAATGAAAACACAACATAAAAATTTCGTGAAATCCAGCAAAAGCAGTGCTTACAAGGAAATTTATAGCATTGAATACATGGATTAAAAAAGAAGAAAGAACTTAAATCACTAATCAAGCTTCCCAGGAAACTAAAAAAAGAAGAGAATATTCAATCCAAAGTAAGCAGAGGAAAATATAAGTAAGTATTAGAGTGGAAAACAACAAAAATGAAAATAGGAAATCAACAGAGAAAATTAACGTAACCAAAAGCTGCTTTGAAAAGATCCATAAAATAGATAAGCTTTTAGCCAGGCTAACTAATAAGGTAGAGAACACAATTTACTACTTTCAGAAATGAAAGAGGGAACATCACTATAGATTCCATGGACATAAAAAGGATAATAAAGGAATACTATGAATAACTCTATGCCCACAAATTATATAACCTAGATGAAACAGACAAATTCATTAAAAGAGACAATCTGCCAAAACTCACACAAGAATAACTGATGAGCTGAAAAGGTTTATAACTACTAAAGATAATGAGTCAATAATTAATAACCTATCAAAACACAGAGTGTCAGACCCAGACAGGTTTACTGGTGAATTCTACCAAAAATGTAAGTAAGAAATTATACCAATTCTCTACAATTTCTTTCAGAGGATAGAAGCAGGAGGAATACCTTGTAACTCATTCTATGAGCCAACATTATCCAACACCAAAATTAAAAAAAAACACATTACAAGAAAACTACAGACCAATAGATCTCATTAACAAAGATGAAAAAATCCTCAAGAAAATATTAACTAATCCAATGCAAAAGAAAAAACATAAAAAGAATTATAGATTGATGAATCACAGACCTGTACCCCTGAAACAAATAATACACTGTATGTTAATTAAAAAAAAAGAATTATATATCTTGACTAAGTGAAATTTATCCCAGGGATGCAAGGCTGGTTCACCATTTGCAAATTAATATGATCTATCATAAAATCAATTAAAGTTGGGGCGCCTGGGTGGCTCAGTCGTTAAGCGTCTGCCTTCGGCTCAGGTTATGATCCCAGGGTCCTGGGATCGAGCCCCGCATTGGGCTCCCTGCTCTATGGGAAGCCTGCTTCTCCCTCACCCACTCTCCCTGCTTGTGTTCCCTCTCTCGCTGTGTCTCTCTCTGTCAAATAAATAAAATCTTTAAAAATAAATAAATAAAATCAATTATTCTATAGATAAGAAAATTACTGGTATCAGTAGATGCAGAAAAAATATTTGACAAAATCCAACACCCATTCATGTTAAAAACTCTAAATAAACTAGGAACAGAGGGGACTTTTTCTCAAGTTCATAAGGACTACCCACCAAAACCCTACAGCTAACATATTTAATAGGGAGAAAGTCCAAGGATTCCCACTAAGGACAAGGCAATGATGTCCCGTCTACCACTCCTTTTCAGAATTGTACTAGAAGTTCTTGCTAATGCAATGAGGCAATAAAAGGAAATAAATGGTATACAGATTGTGAAGGAACACATAAAACTGTCTTTGTTCACAGGTGACATGATCATCAATGAAGAAAATCCAAATACAACCAAATAAATCGCGGAACTAATAAGCGATTATACCAAGGTTGGAGAATACAGAGTTAAGACACAAAAGTCAACTGCTTTCCTATATACCTATTCCTAGTGGAATAGGACATTAAAAACACAATACCATTTACAGTGGGAGCCCCCCCAAAATATGTACAAGATCTACATGAGGAAAACTATAAAACTGATGCATAAAACCAAAAAAGAGCTAAGTAAATGGAGAGTAAATCCATATTCATAAATAGGAAGACTCAATATTCTCAAGATCTCAGTTCTTCCCAACTTCATCTATAGATTCAATACAATTCCAATCAAAATCCCAAAAAGTTATTTTATAGCAAACAAGAAACTATTCTAATGTTTATCTTGAGAGGCAAAAGCCCAGGACAGCCAACACAATTACTGATGGAGAGGAACAAAGTTGAAAAATCAATGCTACCTGATTTCAAGATGTATTATAAAGGTATAGTAATCAAGATAGTATGGTATCGGCAAAAGAATACACGAATAAATCAATGGAACAGAATAAAGAGCCTAGAAATAGACCAGCATAAATGTGGTCAACTTCTCATTGACAAAGGAAGGGCAAAGGCAGTACAATGGACCAAAGATACTCTTTCAACAAATGATGCTGGAACAAGTAGATATCCACATTCAAATAAATAGACATAAAAATTAACTCAAAATGGACCTAAATGTAAAATACAAAACTATAAAACTCCTAAGAGACAAGAGAAAACATAGATGACGTTGGGTATGGTGATGCAAGATACAAACCCAAAGACATAATCCACAAAGAAGTAATTGATAAGCTGGACTTCATTAAAATTAAAAACTTCAGGGGCGCCTGGGTGGCTCAGTCATTAAGCGTCTGCCTTCGGCTCAGGTCATGATCCCAGGGTCCTGGGATCAAGCCCCGCATCAGGCTCCCTGCTC